TATAGAATTCCTGAACGTAGTTTCAATTGTTCAGATACTCGTATGTCATACATCTCATATACTACTAAGATGTGTTCTGCCTTTTGCAGAAAGATTAGGGGCTGAGCATGATTCACACTCCCAGTTGTTTATCGCGCACAGAAATTAATGTACTAATTTCTGATCCTAAAAGTGTATTCAGAATCAATATAATCCCTTCAAGTCGAATGCCTGTAGGCGTCAGATATGTAACAAAACAAGGACATATGTTAGACTACACAGCCTATTGCCTAACATGTCATACTACACTCATGTCCATAAATTAAGGATAATGCAAAATCAGGCAAAGGAAGACTTAGAAGCAAACCAAATTTGACTTATTTGTAAAGCTTATTTATTAAACAAAGGGTAAACAGCAAAAAAAGATGCTATATGTTTGATATTATTAAAAAAATTAGCGATTTTTCTCCCTGGAGCAAATTACAAAAAAAAAAAAAAAAAAAAAAAAAAAAAAAAAAAAAAAAAAAAAAACCTATTTACAAAGAAAAATATTACATGGTTGGTATGATTGTTAATACATTGTATGTCTCCCGACGATCCAAATACAGTCCGTACAACGCCTAGGCATGCTGAGTATCAATTATCGATCTGATCTTGGGGGATATTATACCACTCAAAACGCAATGCTCTCCGAAGTTCCGGTAGACATGTAGGAGGAGATTGTCGGGCTGCAACTCGTCGGCCAAGCATGTCCCACACGTGCTCTACTGGAGTCAAATCCGGTGAGAATGCTGGCCATACGGGTGATATCCTCCGATTGAAGGCATTCGCTTACTATGTTTGCACGGTGAGGACGGGCGTTGTCATCCATAAACACAAATTGTGCGCCCATGGCGCCCAAAAGAAAGTACATGTTTTCCAGAATGACGTCCCGATAGATTTGGCTTTGTCATGGTTCCATTTGAAACATTCAGGTCGAGCTGCAACCCAGAGGTTGTCGTTCAATGATGTTTCCTTGGTGGTAACGGGTACCTCGAGCTCTCCATATGAAAGTCCGGCGAGAATCAGACTGAAAGCTAAACCTGGACTCGTCGGAAAACATCACACAAGCCCACTGTTGCAGTGTCCACAATGCGTGCTCTCTACTCCAGGCTAACCGCAAGCGACAGTGAGTTGCAGTAAGTGGAACGCATCTGACAGGTCTACGAGCATAAAGACCAATCTGCCCTAAGCGTCTGTACACGGTCTGCCTTGAAATTGTCGTACCAGTGGCTGAAGAGAGCTGACGAGACAGGTCTGAGCCTGTGCTCCGCCTGTTTCTTTTGGCAGTAACTGCCAAATACCGGTCCTCATTCGGCGTTGTAACTCTGGGGCGACCTGTGCTGTAACGTCTACTCACATTACCATCATCTTGGAATCGTTGCCAAAGCCTGGAGATGACACTCTGGGCAATTCCAAGATCGTCTGATACTTCCAGTTGGGTACGCCCACAATTCCAGACGGCCGATAATTACTAACCGTAAAAAATCATCCAAATGCGTCCTTTGTGTCATAACTATTCGGTTATTGCACTGAAATGCTTATAAAGCGCCTGCGAACAATTTTTGCTTTATTCCTTATATATCACTCTCTTACTCTCTCGTCATTATGACGTACCATCGGTGTCATCTGGTTACTTCCTGAAATTTGCATATGATTCTGGAAGATGTGTGTAGTGATTTTACAGGTGATATATTTATTTTAGAGTTCGATTTCCGCGTGACTCCGAATTATCCTTAAATTATGGACATGAGTGTAGAAGGGACTAAAGGGAGAAAATCTGACATTTATGGTACTTCTAAGCGCAAATTTACATTAGAGAAAGATGCTAAGCTTGCGTCCTAATCAGTGAGTAAGAATGAAAAAAAATCTAAAACAAAATTTGTTACACTCTACACATATGCTGGAAGCAAAATATTCTATTTTTAATTACAAAACGATAAACCTGCAATAGTAAAGCAAACAATGTATCACTGGGAGCGCAAATCGCATTTCATTCTTCCAAACAACTTTACGCGTAATTTGATTTAAATGCAAAAAAGCAAACACTGTTATATTAAATTTGGGAGTTTAAAATGAATGTCTAGATTTTAATTATAAATTCAAAGAAAGAATTTTAATTACAGTTCCTTCTTAACGAAATTCCCGACAAATTAAACTGTACAGCTAACACTATGGCAGCCGTCAAAAACAAGTAAAGTGTATAACGTGTTGAATTCATTTTCTAGCTTACAATCACGCATTAAAGTATTTAAGATAATATTAGTCACTATGAATGTTTACATTCCAAGGATTTCTGCGAAACAGCTTTTGCTAAATTGGCAAGGTATGACTTTTCTGTTCTTTAATATAAGATTCTTTTTAAAAATGTTCTCTTGTTATCTTACATTAGTTTTCTGTGTACAACATAACATTTAACAGATATTTAAAATTAATTTGACACTTTTCTCTAATTTTTTTAGGCTCAAAGACAACGCATCCACGTAGTTTTACTTCTAAGTGAAGTATTCAGAAAATTAAAATTTAATTATTTTTCTTGCAGTAATACAAAAGAGCGGTTATGCCATTATATGTGTAACTCGGTAGCCCAAATGCATACTAAACTTAACGCTTACCACGTAAAAGCGGTTAGTATATTTAAAAATATTTATTGAAGCTAACAAATTTTTGCGTTTATTTCGGGTGATTCTATATGGATTTCAGATAACTGGCATTCACTTGTAATTAGAACTGCAGTACACCTTCAAAATATATTCTAAAATCGGAGTTTGAGAACATTAGAATTTAGAAATATATCTTTTTAATGATTATCCAGAAGCAATTGCGAAGGTTCTAATTTCGAGATATAGCACTATTTTAAATAATTTAAATTTACTAAATACGTCTAATAATACTACTCAATATATGTTAATAATGATTCTTAGTAGTAATGTATTAGAGGTAACAACATTTGCCATTCTGATATGTAAACTTTTCCTCTAGTTTCAATATAAATTAAACATTATCAAACAAATATAAGATATCCTCTCTAACTTTTAACAAAAATATCTCCAGGTTATCCTCACTGCCAAGTTAACAACAAATGAAATTTACAAAACTTCCTTTTCTGGAGTAAAAGGGAAAGAAATAGCATAACAAAAGTATATTCAAAGAAAGCTTATTGTAATTCAATCCCAATTACTATAGTAAATAATTCTTTAAAAAATAACGCAAACAGTAAAAAAAAAAAAGAAAAATGAAAGAAAGAATTAATGAATGCATAACATATAAACATAACATTATCACAGTTATTCAAATGTTGCTATATTTGTTAAAAAACCAATATAAATAATATTTAGCAATTTAAAAGATGTTAAATGAATAATAACTAAATAAAATCTTTAGATAAACATATTAATCTAGAAATAAGGAATATTTTATGCAACTTTCAGTCGCAAACAACTCATTTGGCAGGCAAGAAAAAACAGCAGAAGATATAAATATTCGAAATACTGTTTTACAGAAATGTCCATAGCAGCATTCGCAAGATATTTTCCTTCCTATATTCAGATCAAAACCGAAACTTTAAAACATTCTTAGAATGCAGTGTATTGTCATTTAAAATTTTATTTTTATGACATATTTTCTGAAAATAGCAATTGGAAAACGCATGTATCAGTTCTCAGCGATGATTCAGTTGATTACTAATATTTCGAGCTCTGAAAGCTTTGTACACTTTTGCGAGTACAGAAAAATTCACAACAATTTTGGCTTTTTAAAAATGAAATGTTTTCTACAGTGTACCCTCAGTTGACTGTTATTAATTGCAGATCTGCTAAATCACACTATATTATGAAGTTGCCTAAGATAGGTCAATTGTGAGCTCGTAGTCGTTTTCGTAAACATTATTAGATCCATTTCTGAGCGATTTCAATCTATTATTTTCGCAATATGGGTGTCATATTATTATTATTATTATTATTATTATTATTATTATTATTACATTATTGGTAAAGTAGAACATAATGCCTGATAATTAAGACAACAGTCAGTTGAAATGAAAAAAAGAACAACAACTTTTATTGAAACGCAAACTGAATTATTGGTTTAGTACCTAAATTAAAGGTATAGAATACATATCAAAATATTTTCCGGCTTACAGCTTTGATTTTATGAAAGAAAGTTAATGTGGCTGCATTTTAAAAATCTACAGAATCCATAGTTTTTATAGAATGTACTTTTGCATGTTAAGCAAAAAAAAAAAAAAAAAAAAAAAAAAAAGGAACCCTCGGCTGTGCTGTCAGGACGTGTATTTGTCGCTCCGCCGTTTTGCCTAATATCAGCGGAAGTTCTCAACGTACCGCTGTAAAAGTAGTTGCTACGTGTAGCTAACATCATCAGGAGTACACTTATATAAAAATTGTGTCATTACGACATTTAGTCGTTTTTTTATGTAACTTCAAAGTTTTTAACACTATCATTCACGACTTGGAGCCATTTTCGCCTTGTTCCTCAACTTCGCAGTCCGTGGATACACCGACGGACGTCGTAGCAGCCGGATTTTCACACAGCCGGATAGAGGATCATCTCAGCAGTATTTTGATATAAGTTTTATCAAGATTGGATAATTGGTTAAATAATTATGCAGAAATTACTCATTTAATTTAGCGCTTTTTTCGCTCACGCTGCATTTTCGACCGTTAGGTGCCACCATCCCCCCCTCGGGGTAGCGCGTTATCGTCAAGGACATTCGCAACGGCTTTCCTTTTATGAAGTGGACACTTTATTAGCTGCCTGCTAATTAATTTCCTAATTGCTGTATCATGCTGGAATAAACGGCAATCTCTCATCATCTATCTTCAGAAGCAGAAGTTTCAAATTTTGGTCGTGATCGGCCCACTGGTTCCAAAGATATAATTTTTTTCGACGTTTATTAACTTAGAATTTCAAGCTGCAAAATTGCGTAGTTTGACTTCCTATTACAGTGCAGTGTTGTGTTTCAGTGTCTATGTGCCTTTGGATTACTATGGAATACCTTTATACAGATGAAGGACAGATGAAAACTGCTGCCAAGGTAAGAAAATTGACTTTTTCCTGTATTCCAGATGATAGAAATATAAAATTCAGCACCAAACGCAGTAGTACTGTACAGAAAAAATTAGATCCTTTCCCATACGATGAGTGCATAGATTCCTCCACTTACTCGAGAGAATTTGCTTTGCAAACATTCATTACCTCGGACATAAGCTATACTGAGAAGATTGATAAACTCACTGACCGAAATTAAAAAGATCGCAACTTCCTTTCGAGGTGGCAAAAATATTCTACCCTAGGCTTGCGAAAGCAACTGATAGACACGGTTGAAGCCTTCCGAATTCTGGCTTTGGGAGTATCTGAGTATATCCCACCTCCGGATACCGTCGATAAAGCAGTCAACACATCCAGTATTTTCGCGTGTGAACTAGCAAGTCAACAGCAACACATCACAGCTGCACCTAATCTAGCGCAAAAGGCAACAGACAATCGAAAGTCCTACGCAAAGTGTAACGGCGCAAAAGCCTACAACACACCTTGCTGATCTACCCTAAAGACCCGTCCACAAATCCAGGAAAAGTGTTTTAAAGAAAAATTGACTGCTGAATTTCCGTTACCCACATTGGGAGTTTCAAGTAGCAGCATTAAGATACATCCCGCAGGAAGGTTGCAGTGGATTGCCATACAAAGGAGGCCATTCACGCACTCTCGGAAAAACTGCAGACTGAAAAGGGCTAAAGAATCTTGCAAACCAAGATCCCAAGCACAAGGGCTTCCCAGGGTTGCTATACACAATATCCATTAAGCGTTACACCAGGAAAACTTGGACGAGTCATCAGTTTAGAACTCCATATTAACAGAGAATGCCAAATCCTGTACAGGCTCAAAAGAAGGAGTAACACAGTCAAGTGGATTGTCGAAGTAATCCCGATGCCTTCCAACAACCATGCGCTCCAAAAAACTACTCATCGGCTGGCGGGCACATCGAATCTCAGAGTACTTCAAACACTAAGAGGTGCTACCGCTGTCAAGCATTGGCCATACCCAGGGAATGCCAAAATAAAATCTATTGTGCATACTGCTCGGGTAATCATGCAATCAAAGTGTCAAGCCAGACGAGCCACATGCATCAACTGTGCAGACTAGTAACTACCGCAACCGAGACAATAAAGCTTGCGACCATCCAGCTATGATGTTGCCTATCCAACATACACGAGATACGTCGAACGGATCAAACGCAGCACTATCTTGAATAGTCTATCTGCTACTAATGCTAACAACAACACGCCTGTAATCCAATCTAATAATAACAATAATCATATTGCAGATTCTCTCTCCACATACTATACCTCCATCAAGCAGGAACATAGGTACACTAAGCACAAGTACATTCAATGCCTGCAAATCAATCTCAAAGGGCTGAGGCAGCAACATCGCATGTCCTCACGCAAGTTATTTCCAACGACAAGACCTCGTAAATCAGCAAGAACCATACTGTAGAGAAGGTCACGTCGCTAGCTTACCTATTGCATGGAAAATACCAAAAGGAGTCCCCGACGGCAGATCTTGCTCCTAGAGTAGCAATTGCCTGCTGCAACCCCCGCATGGACACCACAAGTCATCAAGCTGCATAGGGATTATGTCGCCATTCTAATCATTTTGAAAATATGCAATTTATCCTTACTTCGGTGTATTCCCCACCAACAGATGCATTGGCAGCACTGTCGCCCACATAAGCGAAACAAGTAGAAATTTCCAAACACAGCTCAAGTCATAGGAGGCGACTTTAATGCCATCATATTATATGGGGTATAGTACCACAAATCAAAAGGGCAGGAGCTTGAAGATATATTGTCGGCAAACAATTACAATTGCACAATACAACGAATGCACCACCTACATCGATAATTTCGTACAATCAAGGATGGCCAGAACTTAACGATCTCAACTTATGATATTCTAACAAACATACATTCATGGCATGTCTCAGACTCTGAAAGTTGTTCAGATCATAAATACGTAGAATTTACTATTAAAACAGATACCAACCATTTCTATAATTAAACGCTTCGGCTGCCAGGTAACAAGGTTAGACAATTGACACAGGCCTTTACTCGCTCCTGCAAGCAAAAGAATTGCAGCTAGAATCTTGCAACAACTAGAACCCTTGATTCCCTTGCACAGGACTTCTAGAGGAACTAATGAAATCGTCAACAAATTTTACCCTCCGTACAACAAGAAATTACAAGGAATCTCTTGGTGGACCGGCAACTAAGGCAACAAAGCAAAATGCAGAGCTTTGCGCCGCAGACTAAGAGGCACGTGGACGGAGAGACCAAAGCACAGATTCTGACTACATACCGGCAAGAGGGGCTAAAATAAGAAGAAAATTCTCGCTGCAAAATGACAAGCTGGCGTACCTTCTGTAACACAATACACGAATCCCTACGGGATCTACTAAGATTGCAACACAGAGGTATTCAAACCAGCACAAATTCATGCACAGGTTCCAACGCTAGTCTTTCAAACAAACCCAGCGGGGTTTTTCAGCTGCCCCCCTTCTTGACCGAAATTTTTGCAAAGGACAATCCGCTGAAGATACACTGGAACAACGTGCAGTGCGAAACAATACAAACTATCCAGATACGCCAGATGATTAGCTTTCTCAGCGAAAGAAATCGCTAAGTATTTCGCTACCTACCCCTGAAAAAAGCCCCAGGACCGGATGGCCTGCACTATTCAATAATTAAAGTGCATATAAAGCCAATCCAGATTTCTTCACTAAATTTTTCAATAATTACTTCAGGGCAAAGTCTTCCCAACCGTATTTAAGAGGGACAGGTCGTCTTGTTCTTGAAAAAATTCAAAAATTCCAGCTGAACCGCGGTCTACAGGCCAATCTGTTGTTGTCTGCACTGGGCAAAGTGTATGAAAAGCTGATTGTCAATCGACTCGTCATCATCTGCACAAGACCAAATATCTAAGTGCGGACAATTCGGTTCCGCATAGGAGCTTCCACCGTTCAAGCCTTTCAACAATCAAGAATTGCATCCAGAAGAATAGAAATGATAATATGCATACGGCTTTCATTTCGATTGACCTGGCCAGCGCATTTGATACTCTGTGGGGGCAGCAATCAAACAGCTTTACGAATGCAAAAATGCCCCGACCAACCTTTATCTAACAATCACAAGCTACTTACAAGATCGTATGTTAATAATGTCCCACGATTGCAGGTTTCATCCAAAGCCCAAGTGAGAGGTGCCCCAGGGGCTCTTGCGCGGGGCCCCCTCCTATGGAACATCACATTTAACGAAGTGCTCGCTGCAGACTGGCCCGCACACACGCGAGTTGTCGCCTACGCAGATGATGCTGCACTCTGGTGCGAGACGCACACGCAACGAACTGGAGAAAACGGCACAGAAGTCTGCACACTTTTGCTGACTATGCACTCGACTTAAGCTTCAAAATCAACAGAAAGTCAACAGCTTGATCATTCCAAGGCTAGGAAACAAATCCAACACGACGGCCCTGTATTAAATTAAACGGGAGAAAGAGAAATATTAAGTTCGTTAAAAAATCTAAATATCTAGGGTAAACATGGGACTCGGTCTAACCTTTATTCCTCATATACAAGACCTTCGTGTTAAAAATCTCGAATAGCGAGACAGCGCGCCATTCAGGGCAAGAATGGGGGTCAGAGCCCCCATTTTCAGAAACTGTTATATCTCACGTGGCAGAGAAAACCGCATTATATGCAGCCCCAATCTGGGCAAACCCAATGGGAGCAGGAAAATCCGTCAACTATCAGCCTTGCAAAGACCTTTTGCGATAAACCTATGCAAAGCATATCGAACTACAGCACAAATGCAGCACCAGGTACTAGCTGGTATCATACACTGCATATCAAAGCCTTAAATGGAATCTGATATGCCCAACTGATCCACTTGCCGAGATGCGACATTGGAAACACTACCTATAGCCCAGTCCAATATGAGGCATCGGGGCGACGTATTGCGTACACATCCCTCAATAAAAGGACAGGATACGACAGTTAAATCCAACTGCCTCATCGAGACACCCTCACGAAGATATACACGGATGGCTCGAAGCATGAACATGGAGTAGGTAGTGCCTTATACCTATGATGGTCCAACACCGAATACACATGGAAAGGACATCTGAACCGGAAAACAGCGTCTTTCAGGCGGAAGACTGCTTCACAGCAGCGGTACAGAATACTCAACAAACAATAACAGGCATCTACCATATACGGACCAGCCTTTCAGCAATAAATGCAATAGAAAATCAACACCATGTATCGCCGAGCATCATTAACTTGCAAGAATCCTGCAGCATAATCGTCACACTAAAAATTACCATGGTCTGGGTCAAAGCCCACGATGGCAACCAGGGAATGAAGCAGCTGACCGTTGGCTAAGGATGCTGCAAGCATCTCGAAGCACAAGAAATAAATATTCCTGCCCCACCATCCATTAAAGGTCATTGCAGGGGACCAGCATACGACAATGGCAAGAAGAATGACTAATGCGGAAACAGGGAGGCGCACCTATGAGCGTATTTCAAAGGTATCAACTGACCGCCTTATCGCCATTGCTCCTTTGGTAAACTACATAACAGGTCACGGGCCGTTCCGTCTTATTTCATCGACATGGGATATCAAATACAGACATCTGTCCTGTGGAGAAGACGGAACGCCAGACCACTACTATTCAGGTGCCCTCTGACAAATCCATCATTTTATGCCCACGAGCAACATAACTGCCTACCCCGACTGATATAAGCAAGGGAAGCATTAATGCAATATGTAAAATTATAATTTACGCGGCTAGGTCAGATATTGCCAGCCATTTAAAAACATAGGTTTTCCACTGCATTTATCCAGGAAACTACATTTGCACACGCATACCTTGTCTTAACCTAAACAGAACTTAAACTGGTTGAGAACTCTTGGCAATAGCAAATATTTACTGAACTTTAACGCTGTTCATGTGTCCTTATTAGTTCTCACAAGCACAG